AAATTTGTGACAAAATTTGAGAGAAACAAGTCTGTGTGCATAGCAAAATCTTTAAATTCAACTCGTGGAAAATGGGAGCAAAAACAAAAGCCTTTCAAATTTTGTAAAGTGTATAATGGACTTTGGACAGCTCTACGTACAACATGAAGATGGACAACGCTTCTCCACCTACCCCTGCTGTAAAAACATCCATCCATCCATTTTCATCTGCTTATCCGGGGCCAGGTCGTGGGGGCAGCAGGCTGAGCAAGGCACCTCAGAAATCCCTCTCCCAAGCAATGCTTTCTAGCTTCTCCTGGGGGACCCCAAGGCGTTCACACGCCCGACGATGTTTTTACACAAGACCCCCCGGGAGGGATCTTGTATAAAAACATGAAGCCAAAAAATTTCCTGGATACAGCTGCTCCCATCTTGCACTGGTAATGTTGTTTGGAGGCAGAGTCTGCCCAGTATTGACCTCCGTGGTGTCGAGTTCCTGCCCATACACCCGTCCAACCTATCACAAGCAGCGCCATTGATCATGAGCACACCGACGGGCACACATAGCTGGCAATCATGACGTCAAACCCCATTTCTATAGCATCAAATAACTGATTAAAATCAAGCTTATCAGGAAACAAACACATTAACAAACATCAGTGGGACAAGAACTACCTAGAGTGTTAAAAAACATCTTTTTATTTGAGATTTTAGCTTGGCCCCGTCCCATCTGCTAACATGGAGGGGATGGGGTTTATGACCTGTATACATGTCTATGTTTTGGAACAGCTACACAGATGGATATTGATTGTGATAGGTATGATTAAGTATAGGATTCTCCAGTAAAATATTTTCTTTATTTTTCACACATTTTGAGCTCTTGACAAGTCAACAGATAATTAAAAAGGGGTAGCGAAGATGGAAAATAACCCCAAATTCCAGGGTTTTCCATCAAATTTTACTCCATGCAAGTCAAAGCTTTAGAGTAAAAGTATATCCTAAAACATTAAAAAAAATGGCCTGTTGCACATGTCTATATGTGATAGCACGGAGTAGTCTGTTACAATCCTTTAATATTGTGACCACAGCAGTCTGACTGACAGCTTCACAAGGTTTGTTCTTTACTTAAATACTTTAAATGGCTCCTCAAAAAATCCTGAATACTTACATCTCACTTTACAGGACATTTTCTGGTAGAAACAAAAGCTAAACAGGGACAAAATACAAGAGGATTAATGAGACTGTAAGAAACACTTCCAGGACGACAGTGACTAATTTGTCAACAGGAAACTGGGCTGAATATGGGCTGAATATCAGACCCATGAAAAAAAATCTAAAACAAAATACATTACAATCCAGTGCATGTATTGAACTAACAGACAAGCAAATAAAAGGAGCAGCTTAAGTAGAGACAGCAGAAAGGGCTTTGTGTTTACTCTCATATCCACTTCAGAATGATTCATATCAATAGATGAGCCCGTCCCACGACCAGTGCTGTTTTCCCTTTCTCATTCACTACAGTGACATTACACTGTAACCCTCGACAAAAATGACAACATGAAATGACACTCGAGATGCATCTAACATAAGATGACATAAAATGACCCTGGCTCATTATTTTTCAATAAACAAACATGAATTCCTTCATTTAAAATACACACATTTTGCAACAGTTTTAAAATAAATTTTTGGAGGACAGCATAGACACAGTGTGAACAAAAACAAGTCTGCAAATGCATCTGAACAAATGACAGAGATCTATTTTCACATCTGTAAAGACATGAAAAGGGATTCAGAACTAGTAAAATATCTACTACACTATATGCCTGTTGACAATGAGTGTATGTGTTGGTGCGTGTGTATGGAGCAGTACTGATGGGTTTCTACGTAAAAAGCTAATGCAGATTATAAAACATTCTGTGAATTCATGTGTGCATTTGGGGTTTAGGTCTATATCTTTGTAATTTATAGCTGTTTACAAAACATGTTTAAATACTGTGTGTGTGTGTGTGTGTGTGTGTGTGAGAGTGAGTGAGTGAGTGAGTGAGTGAGTGAGAGACCATCTAACCCCATAAATCTTCAGTGCGGCCAAACTTGTAGATCAGAGTGCTACAGAGAGAGAGAAAGGGGAAAAAAACGCCATCAGGACACCGCCATCCCTGCAACACAAAGGATCAAGGATCCTATCTCTTTTAGAGTTACATGGGTAAATAGTTGACATCTTCTCCTGTAAAATGGAACAACACTTCAAGACGATTTACATAAACAGATGCAACAAAGACAATAATGGTGTTATCACAATAACATCAAACAAATAAAAACACTGCTTCATTACCATGTCACTGGTGGTGCTCTGTAGGCTAACATTAGCACCCAGTGTTCCTATCCTGTCAGTCTGCTCTAATATTAGAGGAGTGGTAACAAGTGCAGAAATGTCAGTACTGGACTTTAGTTGAAATTCAGGCATCATATGCCATCAGGTGGAAATGCGACATGGAAATATGTCAACATGTAGGATTGTCATGCACAAATTCGTAGTAACAATGTGACATTAGCAAGCTAACAAGTTAGCTACCTAGACATCTGCATACTTCTAGTGTTTTTCTTTTTTTTTTTTTAAATTTGCTTGTTACAAGATAATGAACCATAATACATTGAAATAGCTTGGAAAGCATTAGACAGATTATGGCAGTTCTGGAACATTTTTTTAAATTTAATTTAATTTTTCATTTGGTACAGTGACAATTTGTGTGTGTGTGTGTGTCTTAATTTTGGACTGATAAGCTAAATGAATAAAGAATAAACAATATTAAACAAAGATAATACAAAGATTATCATAATTTTCAAATCTTTACTAACAACAACAACAAAAATACATTTGCGGGTTTCTTTTTTTGCTTGCACAGCTGTCTTGCTGATGATTGGAGTGGAGTAAATGGTAATGGTAAATGGACCTGCACTTGTATAGCGCCTTTCTAGTGATCTGACCACTCAAAGCGGTCACATTCACCCATTCACACAGACATTCACACACTGGTAGCCAAGGCTACCATACAAGGTGCCACCTGCTACTCAGTTTTTAACACACACACACACACACACACACAAAATCTGGGGAGGAATTTCGGGTTCAGTATCTTGCTCAAGGATATTTTGACATGCAGATCGAACCTCTGATTGATTAGTGGCGTCCCACTCTACCTCTGAGCCACAGCCACCCCAGTCGCTCAGTTTTTCAGAGTGTGCCTCTGAAAAACCTCCATGTAGCCCTAGTACTTCTTTTAGAGTTTTCCTCTGGATATTTGACATTTTCACTTAGGTGTTTTATTAAAAACCATCATGACTGTATAAATAATATTACTGCATGGATTCAGGAACACTATGGAAAACCATCGTCAGTAAACACAGTTCATCACTGTATCTACAAATGCTAGATAAGACTCTACCATGCAAAGTAAAAGCTATATTATTAACAACATCCAAAAAAAACACCGACTTCTCTGAGCCTGAGCTCATCTGAGATGGACTGACAGAAAGTGGAAAAGTGTGCTGTGGTCTTAAGAGTCCACATTTCAAATGGTTTTTGGAAATCATGGATGTTGTGTCCTCAGGGCTTAAAAGGAAGAGGACCATCCAGATTGTTACCAGCTCAAAGTTTAAAGCCAGCATCAGTGATGGTATGGAGGTGTGTTAGTGCCCATGGCATCGTGGGTAACTTGCGCATCTGTGAAGGCACTATGAATGCTGAATGGTTCATACAGGTTTTGGAGCAACATATGCTGCCATCCAGATGACATCTTTTACACGGACTTTACTGTTTATCCCAGCAAGACGATGAGACACATTCTGCACGTGTTCTAACAGTGTGGCTTCGTAATAAAAGAGTGCAGGTACTACAGTGATCTGCCTGCAGTCCAGACCTGTCTCCCATTGAACATGTCTGGCTCATCATGAAACACAAAATACTGGTCCAATGGAGACCTTGGACTGCTGAGCTGATGAAATCATATATCAATGTAGAATGGGAAAGAATTTCACATTCAAAGAAAAGGTGATGTAACACAGTGGTAAACATTCTGAATTTGATGCCTGCAATACATTCTAACAAAGTTGGGATAGGAATATGAGGCCATATTTACAAAAAACAAAGTTTATCAGTTTATCTTGTCTTTGTACTGTATTCAATTAAATATAGGTCAAAAGGCCTTTACAAATCATTGCATCCTGTTTTATTTACATTTTACACAACATCCCAACTACAACAGACAGTGTTGTTCTTAAGTAGGTTTAAGTCCTGTGGGAGACCATTATTATTAGCATTTACGACCAGGAATTGAAGAAGAAATCAAGACAAATAGCAGAGCACCAGACCTTATAACTTTAGCAGTGCATTGCTCAGCTAAATGGCTCTCCGCCTCTTTTATGAGGCACTTGTTAGTAGACTTGCACCGATTGCAATTTTTTGGGCCGATTCCGATTTCCAATTTGCAGTGTTTGGACGGCCGATTCCGATTTTGGCTGATTCCGATTTCATTTTTTTCAAACCACTTTATAGCACAAAAGATATTGCAATATTTTCTATCTTTCCTTTATTAGAGCATTTTAACCAAGATACAACCAGTTTTCAATAATCATCTCAAACAAACAAACAAAAACAGTGACACAGGTTAAGAAACATTTTCCTTTTTGCTCAAATATAACTTAAGGTACGGTATTAAAATAAATAGGTAAAAAAGGCATACATATATAAAAACATAGATAAATAAAATAATAATTCTTGGTGTATAGCATTTGTGGGTAATTTCTTGAATAGATAAAAAAGTAAAAATATCTCCTGTGGAAAATTCACACAGGTCTTCACATCTACAAAGTGCAGTGTTATGGACATTCTTATTTTAACAACTAGAAAAAAGGTGCACATTCTTCGGCATGCAGTCACGCACCTCGTCAGTTTCGAGCGGCACAGTGCAGCAGTGAGAGCTCCGCAGTTAAGTTTAACACAGACAGTTAACAACTTTCTCCTTCTCTCTTCTGATGTGTGTGTGTGCATGATTAAGGTGAGAAGCCGCCCATGTTTCACTTCCTCACATCACCCAGGCTGTGAGTTGCACATGTGCGTGTGTGTGCACTGCTGATGTTACACAATGTCAATCATGCAGTGTGGCAGGAATTTGGCTGGCGCTTTAGATCGGCATATTTTAGACTGACCGGCCGGTCACAGGTCATGGCCGATCATGTGAAAATCGGCCCAATTCCAAGCACCTGATGTACATGGAGCTGAAACGTATTCTGTAAAATTGGTGTGACAGTGCATTTGGCCACTGATAAACAAAAATAAGACAAATACAATCTCAAACAACAAAATGGACCAAGGATTGCAAAATATCAACAGCAATCTTTAAGCTCTGACTACTTGAGAGAAAGCAGTGTAACAGGGTGGATTTTAACCCTAAAAATATATCATGTCCAATACTGGCATACTTAATTAAGCTGCTTAAAATGCAAATGGCAGTATATTCTATTAGTTAATATTAAGTCACTCTAGTTTACAGACAGGTGATGTTTTAATATTTGACTAACTCCTCACTGATTTGAGTTTCATTATAGTTTCAGTTTCATTATACTCACCTAAAAAAGATGAAGGCATTCTGAAAGAACACGGCCAGCCCAGGTGCCACTTCTTTCTCTAATAAATTAAACAGGACAAAACCACAATCACAGTTAGTAACACAACAGTAAGTAAAGAGATTCTGAAACGTATATGTGTGTAAATGGAGTCCTTTGTGTTGCTTGGGCTACCAAGGTGCTCCGACCTTTAAACGACAAGTAGGAGTAAGTAAAATCTGTGTTTCAGTGTTCATATGGGCACCTGAATGTTGTTTCAAGACAGACTTCAATGCGGATTTGCTAATTGCATTATTTTATAATAAAATTCGTGTACCAAATAAACCACTGACTTTGTGATTTTATATTGATTTTTAACTGATTAACAGTGGGTCTTTGACTGTTTTACATGAAAACAGTATTTTACCCCATTTCCATTACTATGACTATTTTTACTTAACATGCACTTTCCAGGCATTTGCGAAAAATGTGCTAGTACTTGCCAACTTTACTTCCTCTTTAGACATTCCTGTCGCCAACTAGCCACAAATGCCAATAGACTCAATCAGCACAAGGCTGAGTCCCTTTTTGGGGGGTAGAAAACTGAAGATCATATAGATGTCAATGCAATTTGACGTGTGTTTGGATTATAATTTTGACACATCTATATGCATTTATATTTTGTTAAACAAACATTTGTTTTATTGACATGTGTTATAATTATTTTGCGACCTTGTCTGAACCTGAACCATTCACAACACCCTAATAGATTAATGTTAATCGCCATAATGTACCTTCAGTCTTCCCCTGTAAAAGTGGATTTATGATGTTAAACACTGGCCCGATATCATAGACACTCATAGACACACACACTGAGATTTAGTTGGAGACAATGTCGATAGCGCTGCAGGCTCGCTGCGAACAACACTCGATTCTGTAGCACCTCTTAAATAGAAGTTAACAAAGCAAAGAAAGTTCACTCCTTGGTACAATTCTCAAACCCGAAAATTAAAACAAATATCACGAAAATTTGAAAGGAATTGGCAAATAACAAAACTGGAAGAATCTCGTTTAGTCTGAGAACAAAGTCTCAAAACGTATAAGAGGGGCCTCCGCAATGCCAGAGCAAACTATTACTCAGCATTAATAGAAAAATAAGAACAACCCCAGGGTTCCTTTCAGCACTGTAGCCAGGCTGACTGAGATGAAGACAAAAAAATGACAAAATTCTAACTATTAGAAGCAAAATTCATGACCTCCTGCCCACAAACGGAACCAATCTGCCCTCAAACACAGCTGTAAGACCTAATATACAGTACAGGCCAAAAGTTTGGACACACCTTCTCATTCAATGCGTTTTCTTTATTTTCATGACTATTTACATTGTAGATTCTCACTGAAGGCATCAAAACTATGAATGAACACATGTGGAGTTATGTACTTAACAAAAAAAGGTGAAATAACTGAAAACATGTTTTATATTCTAGTTTCTTCAAAATAGCCACCCTTTGCTCTGATTACTGCTTTGCACACTCTTGGCATTCTCTCCATGAGCTTCAAGAGGTAGTCACCTGAAATGGTTTCCACTTCACAGGTGTGCCTTATCAGGGTTAATTAGTGGAATTTCTTGCTTTATCAATGGGGTTGGGACCATCAGTTGTGTTGTGCAGAAGTCAGGTTAATACACAGCCGACAGCCCTATTGGACAACTGTTAAAATTCATATTATGGCAAGAACCAATCAGCTAACTAAAGAAAAACGAGTGGCCATCATTACTTTAAGAAATGAAGGTCAGTCAGTCCGGAAAATTGCAAAAACTTTAAATGTGTCCCCAAGTGGAGTCGCAAAAACCATCAAGCGCTACAACGAAACTGGCACACATGAGGACCGACCCAGGAAAGGAAGACCAAGAGTCACCTCTGCTTCTGAGGATAAGTTCATCCGAGTCACCAGCCTCAGAAATCGCAAGTTAACAGCAGCTCAGATCAGAGACCAGATGAATGCCACACAGAGTTCTAGCAGCAGACCCATCTCTAGAACAACTGTTAAGAGGAGACTGCGCCAATCAGGCCTTCATGGTCAAATAGCTGCTAGGAAACCACTGCTAAGGAGAGGCAACAAGCAGAAGAGATTTGTTTGGGCCAAGAAACACAAGGAATGGACATTAGACCAGTGGAAATCTGTGCTTTGGTCTGATGAGTCCAAATTTGAGATCTTTGGTTCCAACCGCCGTGTCTTTGTGAGACGCAGAAAAGGTGAACGGATGGATTCCACATGCCTGGTTCCCACTGTGAAGCATGGAGGAGGAGGTGTGATGGTGTGGGGGTGTTTTGCTGGTGACACTGTTGGGGATTTATTCAAAATTGAAGGCACACTGAACCAGCATGGCTACCACAGCATCCTGCAGCGACATGCCATCCCATCCGGTTTGCGTTTAGTTGGACGATCATTTATTTTTCAACAGGACAATGACCCCAAACACACCTCCAGGCTGTGTAAGGGCTATTTGACCAAGAAGGAGAGTGATGGAGTGCTGCGGCAGATGACCTGGCCTCCACAGTCACCGGACCTGAACCCAATCGAGATGGTTTGGGGTGAGCTGGACCGCAGAGTGAAGGCAAAGGGGCCAACAAGTGCTAAACACCTCTGGGAACTCCTTCAAGACTGTTGGAAAACCATTTCAGGTGACTACCTCTTGAAGCTCATGGAGAGAATGCCAAGAGTGTGCAAAGCAGTAATCAGAGCAAAGGGTGGCTATTTTGAAGAAACTAGAATATAAAACATGTTTTCAGTTATTTCACCTTTTTTTTTACAGTACATAACTCCACATGTGTTCATTCATAGTTTTGATGCCTTCAGTGAGAATCTACAATGTAAATAGTCATGAAAATAAAGAAAACGCATTGAATGAGAAGGTGTGTCCAAACTTTTGGCCTGTACTGTATATCTAGATAGCTTCTACCCAATTTCTCTTCAACAATTGACCGCAATGATTTCTTCATCTAAATCATCAATGTGTCTCTTAGACCCCATCCCAACTAGGCTACTTAAAGGGCCAGTGTGTAATATTTGGCATGGTTTATTGTCAAATGTGAATCTGAATCTGAATATTCTACCCATTAATATGTTTATATAAGTGTATAATCGATATAAAATAAAATTCGTTTGGTTTTCGTAGCCTTATATTAATGCTTTTATATATATAAATAGCAAGGGCCTTGCTTTAGAGAGGTTGCCATCTTGCGCCGCCATATATGTAAGGCAGCCCGAGCGGACAATCCAGCCAGCCAAAGAACGCGTTTCGCGTGTATAAATAAACCAACAAAGACAGCGGGAGGAAGGAAGAAGGAGGAGGAAACAGCAAAGAGTGTTTGTAGTTCGTCGATAGAGAGTAGTGAAAAGTTTTTTTAGTTCTAAAGTTTGCGAATGGACCACACTTACCACTCAACAGGAGAGAATGAACCCGAACTGTCATCTGTGAGGAAAAGAAGACGCAACTTCACTCCTTGTGATGCACTCTCTGCGGCGCTTTTCCTCCTGATGATATATCTCCCCAAGGATGGCAGCACCGAATCCCATTCTGTGCAGCAAAATGGGAGCGGAGGATTCAGCTTCTCCTCTCGCCCGCTCAGTGTACTCCGGCTCTCATCTGTATGCTCCGGCTCAAACAGGTATGGCTCTGGATCTGTGTCCGCTACAAGAAACTCTTCAAAATCGCGTTCAAAGTCGTCCATTGCAGCTACTATAGTCCGGAGATATTGCTAGGCTAAATAAACAGCTGAGCTCTGTTTACAGGCTACGCTGTCAGTCAGTGCTGGAGATTGGTGGAGCAGAGAGGGGAGGGGGGTCTAGGTATTGTAAACGAGTATGTGTGTATGAAGTGTGTGTGTGTTACGCCAGAAGAGTCAGAGTTTGGGACGGAGTCTTTTACCCCCTGGAGTGTTACCGGAGTTTTTGGAGTGCTCAAATAAACGGGCCTTTTTCCCCGAACGCTACTCTGGTCTCCTGCTCGTGAGTGATTCATTACATTATCGTAACATGGTTTAGATGTCTAAATAAACATTCACCTCCCTGTTGTGCTAGATAGACCTACTCCTGAAAAACTTGTGTCTGCGCAAGGCTTTTTGTCCCTACGAGGCCACCGTCATTTACTCGACGGGAGGGGTGAGCGAGTGAGCCCTGCAATCTAGAATTTGACCACTGATGTCACTGTTTTCAACCCATTTTACACACTGGCCCTTTAAGGAAGTCTTGCCTTTAGTTAACACGCATATATTAGACATGATCAATATATCTTTATTAACAGGCATGTACCACAGTCCTTCAAGGTAGCTGTAATTAAACCTCTTTAAAAAAAGCCCACCCTGGATCCTGAGGTGTTAGCCAACTATAGACCAATATCTAATCTGTGTGATTTTCTCCATGATAATTTATTTGAATTTCAGTCAGAATTTCAGTCAGGATTTAGAGTGCATCATAGCATTGAGACAGCACTAGTTAAAATCACAAATGATCTTCTGATTGCTTCAGACAAAGGACTCATCTCTGTACTTGTTTTATTAGATCTTAGTGCGTATTTGACACAACATTTATTTGGCCTGAAAGGTTCTGCACTAAGCTGTTTTAAATCTTATTTATCTGATCATTTTCAGTTCGTTCATATTAATGATGAATCATCTCTACGTACTGTGTAGGAGTTCCACAAGGTTCTGTGCTCGGACCGATCCTATTCACTCTATATATGCTTGCCTTAGGTAACATCATTAGAAATCACTCTGTAAATTTCCATTGTTATGCGGATGATTCACAATTGTATTTATCGATAAAGCCAGAAGAAACTGATCAATTTATTAAACTTCAAAAATGCCAAAAAGACCTAGGATAAAAACCTGGATGAGCCTATCCTGACCCGAAAAGATGTAGAAAAATTGGTCCACCCTTTTGTTACCTCTCAGCTGGATTACTGTAACTCCCTATTATCAGGTAGCTCTAATAAGTCTTTAAAAACTCTCCAGCTAATTCAGAACGCAGCGGCATGTTTACTGACAGGAACTAAGGAACGAGATCATATTTCTCCTGTTT